CATTGTATAATTCTAAATATTTTATATAAACTAAAACAAGGTCAGTAATTTTGCACTTTATATTGTTTCTCATAATCTGACTTATTAATCAGTTCCATTTTTTGTTTGTCTCTGATTCCCATTGTTCTTGAGTGATCTCCCTTTACCGAATTGTTTTTACCTCCCTTAATCAGAATTGTTTTTACCTCCCTTTTCGAGATTTTTTTCTAAGGAAACAATGGTAACATTATGCCAATTATAATCTTTTGCTTTAGAGGCAGATTTTCCTAAAATAAATTGAGGATAAATGGTAGAATCATATGACCCCGAAATAAATCAATGAACCTGTCTTGTTTATACAATACAGCCATAGAGAAAAAAGTAAACGACACATGAAAAACAAATAAGAATATCAGACTTGTTTATGGAATGTAAAGGAAACTAACTGAATAGTTCTAATACCAACACAATGGTACAATCATAGCAACAAAAAAATGTCACGATTGTAGGTAAGAAGTGGCTGGTAATGAACAATGGTTGCTGCTACATGAAAATCGGGCCATCTGTTTGTACAAACAGTATACATAATATGCACATAATATTCATATCATCATATCCTCACATGAATGCTGTAATGAGTTAACTCCTATTAAACTATATAATGAGATAACCTGCTACTGCATGAAGGTGACAAATTATAAATCAATTATCAGGTTCAATCTAAAACAAAGATTCAGGCTTAACAAATAACACAAATCACATTTGTTATCATAACATGAACATTTCAAATTTGATTTTGAGGCATGCATATATTCAGGAACATTATTACATCACAAAACAATCATTTATTAATCCTGCTGAAAATATAACCCTCTCCATGCTCAATTTCAAATGATATGGCCTATAGTCTAAACATTGCACCATCTGACTGAATACAATAATAAAATTGTGCAATAAAAATCACTATAACTTACAAGTTATTTTGGACTTAATGACAAATTTAACATTTTAAGAAGTGCAGTATTTGTATAATAAAATGCACTGAAAGAGATAGTACTGCATGTAGCAAACATGATGGTTGATATGATAGCAGATTTCACTGTGTTATAAGCTATTCATTACTTTTATAATATTTCATTAACTGAACTATTTGGATTGTTGATTTTAATGACATACAAAATGAAAAATGTTCATAAGTTCATATTGCAACTTTCCAGCATTAGTGGTGAAAGATGACCACTTTGTGTCACTTTAGGGTTTGACCAACCAGCAATATGTTAGCCAACTGTGAAAACTTTCTTATATAAAACAATAAATTAATATACACACAGAGTTTTGAACCACTCAGTGACAAATAGAATGTAGTTACCATCAACATCTACCAGGAGATGAAAATGCTGCCCTATGAGCTTTATATTCAATTGATTATTAGGATTAGCCCTTACCACACTAAACATCTTAAATGGACTTGTCCATCTTTCAATCTAGATAAAACCATTCATCATAATTCATTTATAGGGAAAATATTTGAAATAAGCCCTGACAGAACAGCGAACAGTGGTTGGTAGAATCAGTTGATCTGGTTGGTAGAATCAGTTGCTGCCAGTGTGTGTATTCTCTGGCTCCATCAGGCACGAAGTGTACAGACCCCAGACATGTCACCATTCAAATCCATAAAGGTTATTATATGCCAAAAGGTGATCTATAACTTTTAATTCATTAACTAGAACTATCACTAAATGTGATTAATACCCCCACAAGACTGCTTCGGAAATGAGGATGTTACTAGTAACAGAATACCTTGTAAAAGAATTGAAATATAGAGTTATGGTTGTGGGCAATTAAAGATAGTTGTGGTTTTTGTATGTTGCATTTCCTTTCAATGTCGTTGGCCATTGATGAAGTTTTATTGAATTACTCTGTAATAAGTCCAGAAGACAAGGAAAAGAAACAAACGGCAATAACTCTATAAATACTGAAGATGGAGTTATAGTTCTTGTGCACTGCACTTCCTCTTATTGTGCTTGACCATTGTATGAAGTTGTTTTGAATTCCAACCAGTATGTTGTAAGTTATTCTCTGGACAAGAAAAAGTATCAAAGGGCAGTAACTCTGTATTTTGTCAAAATAGAGTTATGGCTCTTGTGCACTGCACTTCCTTTTAATGTCCTTGACAACTGTATGAAGTTGTATTGAATTCCAAACAGTAGTTTTCAAATTATGCTCTGGACAAGAAAAAGTAACAAAGGGCAATAACTCTGTAATTAATCAAGATGGAGGTTTGTTCTTGTGCACTGCACTTCCTCTCAATGTGCTTGACCATTGTATGAAGTTATATTGAATTCCAACCATTAGTCTTCAAGTTATGGTCGGGACAAAAGAAAGCAATGGAAAAGTAACAAAGGGCAATAACTCTGTAATTAGTCAAGATGGAGTTATAGTTCTTGTGCGCTGCACTTCCCCTTATTGCGTTTGACAATTGTGTGAAGTTGTTTTGAATTCCATCCAGTAGTTTTCAAGTTATTCCCCAGACAAGGAAAAGTAACAAAGGGCAATAACTCTGTAATTAGTCAAGCTAGAGTTATGGTTCTTGTGCACTGCACTTTCTCTCAATGTGCTTGACCATTGTATGTAGTTATATTGAATTCCAACCATTAGTCTTCAAGTTATGGTCCGGACAAAAGAAAGGACTGGAAAAGTAACAAAGGGCAATGACTCTGTAATTACTTTAGATAGAGTTATGGTTCTTGTGCACTGCACTTCCCCTTATTGTGTTTGACAATTGTATGAAGTTGTTTTGAATTCCAACCAGTAGTTTTCAAGTTATGCCCCAGACAAGGAAAAGTAACAAAGGGCAATAACTCTGTAATTAGTCAAGATAGAGTTATGGTTCTTGTGCACTGCACTTCCTCTCAATGTGCTTGACCATTGTGTGTAGTTATATTGAATTCCAACCATTAGTCTTCAAGTTATGGTCCGGACAAAAGAAAGCAATGGAAAAGTAACAAAGGGCAATAACTCTGTAATTACTTTAGATAGAGTTATGGTTCTTGTGCACTGCACTTCCCCTTATTGTGTTTGACAATTGTATGAAGTTGTTTTGAATTCCAACCAGTAGTTTTCAAGTTATGCCCCAGACAAGGAAAAGTAACAAAGGGCAATAACTCTGTAATTAGTCAAGATAGAGTTATGGTTCTTGTGCACTGCACTTCCTCTCAATGTGCTTGACCATTGTGTGTAGTTATATTGAATTCCAACCATGAGTCTTTAAGTTATGCTCCGGACAAGGAAAATGCAACGGACGTCTGGACCGACCGACCACCGGGTGACTCCTATATACCCCCCCAAACATCGTTTTTGGGGGTATAATGATACTAAATATGGTATGCGAGTCAATTTTGCAGTTTCTGCCAGTAGGAACAGTAAGTCAAAAAATATATCAAGCTAGTCATTTCCCAAAATTCTCCTTCATTAAATATAGCATTGAATATGGAGATTGTTTGTAGCACAGTTCCATTCAAAAAATCATAGAACAAGTCATAATATTTTCATTCCAATAAACAAAATCTTATGAAAACCGACAGTAACTTTTTAGTGATAACTCGATATTGAGTCTGATTTTTAAGTTTTCTTAATATCTACCAAGTGTTTAATTAGAAAAGCAAATAGCAATTGTAGTATCATGATAAAAAACCTCGTTCTAAGCTCTATCTGTAACAAAATTCTTTTTTAATAATTGTCTGAGATTCACAATTATTGAGGTAATGAATGGTAAAAGAACTGCAAATATATTGCTCAAGAGTCAGACTATCATTTGAAGACAATTTATCCATCAAGAGTCTATGAAATGCTTGATATGATAATGGAGACTAAAGCCACCTGAGACCGACCTACATATGACGTATGACTGTTACAGTTAAGTTGTGGAATCAGGTATTACCTGAAGGTTATACGTGTATATGTCACAGTTTTAAAAGCCAAATTCTTGAATCAAAAGTGGTCAGAACAGTAGTGAAACTTTTCTGTTTAAAAAGAGCACTGCATCTGGTGTTCATGCTCATCTGTTTTTGAAACTTGAAAGAGGCAGAACTCCAAAATTATTGCCTTTCAGAATAATGTTCAAGCTTCATAATTTTGTGATAACTTTTAAAATGTTTGAATTTTAAAATGAGTTACATTAAAAGTTTTTGCAAGATGAAATGGCTGCATTAGTCATAATAGCCTAACTTCTTCTCCTAAACAGACAAGCAAAAAAAAAACAGATATTTCATGGAATGCACGTAACCTGAAATATTAGTTATTTCATGAAACTCCTGGTTGCTTTAGGTGTTTCATGTAATACTTTAAAGATTTCAGTTGTTTCATGATTTCACAACTTTACTGTAACATGCATGTCAGAGTAGATTTACAGTTTGCAGTTTTATTCCTTATTTTGATATAACGAAATATGAATTTCTTGCAGGGCTTTTTTTCCTTCTATAGCAGGAGCCGGTAAAGGGCTGCTTCCCCAAAGAATAATTCTTTCAAATCATGCAGTTTTCCCCAAAAATTGAATTTACATCAAGTTTTTTCTTCCCCTTTTGCAAATATTCTGTGAAATTTTCCCCCTAAATTAAGGGCTGGGCTGCTTCCCCAACCTGTGAAAAAAGCCCTGACTTGTAAACTGTTTCAAAGCACGCCATAATGTCCAAAGTCGTATAAAAATTCAAATATTCTTACTAACTATATAGCATTAATTGCTCATTATTTCTGTATGGAATTATTCATTTTATGCATGTTAAGCATAAAGAAAGTTTGGAAACAATCCAGATCTACTTGATTTAGGAGAAAGAAACCTGTTCATAAAGTACACAATTTTTCTAAAATCATTGTCTGACAAAAATTTCTCTCCGAAAATGAGTAAAGTATGCAGAATATTTAACTGAACAACAGCATACTTAGTATATAATGTTGTTAATGTACATAAAACATAAACAAACAACAAAAATCATCTAATAGAAATAGAAGTTTGAACGAATATCAACTCCCTGTAGAGAATAAACATAATGTACAAATATACACTACTTTTATACATCATAATGTAACATTCATTAAACTGTTTAAATAAATCTATAAATTAATTTGTCATATCTTTTTTAAACAATTTATGTTTCAATCAATACAATGAATATAAATAAATTAAATCTATATCTGATCTTCCTATTTGTCATGTACAAGTGAATGCTTAATTAACCTATCATGTCGGGTAAATGCTCTCGGACAAATCGGACATTCAAATGGCTTCTCCCCACTGTGATCGTAACTGTGCCGTTTAAGATGTTCCGCTCTCATATATGATTTACCACACTCGAGACATCGGTACGGGCGTTCATTGGTGTGTCGACGATAATGTCGCACTAAATGCTCTCGTCTCCGGTACTGAGAGCCACAAATGTCACAACCGAAAGCCCGCTCCTCCGTATGAATCTTTGTGTGAATACGAACTTTCTCTCTCGTTTTAAACTGTTTCTCACAATATTCACACTGATAAATTATATTTGGTGATTCCTGCGCACCTTTTCTTTTCCTGCCACGCTTCTTTGGACTAGGTGAACTAGAACTCTCGTACTCCATGCCTTCGTCAGGATACGACACAGTCTGAACTTGTCGACTTTTCGATTTCGTCAATGTCAGTCGTATTCTAGGTTTCCTTCTCTTTCTTCCATCTTTTTTCTTATTCATGCCTTTCAGAGTATAGGCAACATCTTTTGCTGCCTTTCTAATCTGCTCAATATCATCATCAATACCACCTTTTCTTTCCTTCTTTTTTCTTCCCCTTTTACTAGTCGGACTAACCTCTACTTCGTAAGTCCCTATTTCGACTTCAGAAGCAATATCTTGATTCTTAATAGTTTCAGAAGCTGCAAGTATTGCTTCAACAGATCGCTTTGATGGTGACTTGCGTTCCACATCAAACACCGGCTCCATTTTAAAGTGAATTTCACCTGTATTTGGATGGTAAACACTAACAGGATCATTATACGCCTGTCTCATTCTATACAGATCATCATATGAATTAAGATCATCAATGTCTAATGTCCTTGAGGAAGATGGCTTAAGCGTAAATTTTGAGCTACCTGGAGATTTAGTAGGTGTGCTAAGCCTTCTTTCTCGGTGAGTCGGGATATAAATATCTTTCCTCTGTAGATACATGGCAGTGAGAGGTTTGCTACGCACTATCTCCTCCTCCTCGTCGAGACTTTGAGATGTGCTGATCTCTTCCTCAACAGCTTCTTCAATAACAAGTCCGTTTTCATGATCACCAAGCTGGGGAGACACATGATCGCTGTTCGTAATGGACAACGGTCTCTGGATGACTGGAATGGTACCGATATAGTCATGGTGATAAATACTCTGATAAAGACTAAGTCTATCGGGGATCAGATCTTCGGAAACACTTTCTACTTTCAAGTTCACATGTTGTTCCATAGAGGAACCTGACATCACTTTGTCATTAACGTCAGTGTCAGAATCATCATTATACACGTTCATTTCATCTTTCAGACTCCTTGTATCTGTAATAAGAATCTGATCACTGTTATGATCATCTGACCGTATCACAACATGTTCCATGGCAACAGGTGCACTATAGTTGTGCTGGCTAGAATCGAGAGTTATTTGAATTGGAATCTGGCTCGTGTCAGACACCTGTATAATAGACAAAATATTGTGTGTTGTTAACATAAGCAAGTTAATACATGTATAAGCATAGCAAAATCTGTTGCTTTAGACCTAACAATTTTGTATTGGCATGACTTCTATAAATAAACTAGACCTATCACTGAAGGTGATTAATACCCCCACCAGCAACTTTGACCTTTTGAAAAATAAGTAGTCTGAAGAAAAATTTGAACACAAACTATCAACTGTGTACATAGAAATATTTCAATTTATTGTAATCCCAACTGGGGTCTCCAAATAAGCTTGCTATACAAGTTTGATTACAATATCTCATTCCTAACTCTAGTTATTGTCCGGAAACCATTTTTCTATTTCTAGTAACACTGTAATGGTGACCTTGACCCCAGGGGGTCCAAATGCAAAACCAACCAATGTCTTCATATAAGCTTCCTATACCCTAATTTTGATTACAATATCTCATTCCTAACTCTAGTTATTGTCCCGAAACCATTTTTCTATTTTTAGTAACAGTGACCTTGACCTTGACCCTAGGGGATCAAAATGCAATACCAACCGGAGTCTCCACATAAGGTTGCTTTATACCAAGTTTGATTACAATACCTCATTCCAAACTCTAGTTATCGTCCAGAAACCATGTAGTGGACCGACCGACCGACTGACAAGCTGACTCCTATATACCCCCCCCACACTAAACTTCATTTGTAGGGGTATAATAAATTTCCATGTATTTAACTTAATATTTGGTGTAGACAAATTCTGTACCAGACAATCACTGACGAAAGCTTCAATACCAAAGCATGTCTCACTTTAAACTCAGTCATATTAGTCTATACACTGACCAAGATACCTAGAAAACATCTAATATCAAAGAAAATGTTTTACACATCATTTCATTAAAATTGAAAACTTTTTGATCTGGATGCCTTCTTTAAAGAATGCATTCACATACAGATCAATGAATTAACAGAAATTTAAGCATTTTTATACCTTTCTTTAAAATCATAAGAAGAAATTCTTATGATTTTAACATAAAGATACAAGAGCCCGGTTTGAGCTGGGTGATGCTCCCCGAATAGGTTTTGGACACAGGAAAGTACACCTCTTGTAGTTTCAGAGTAATGTCCCTGGAAAAAGTTCAAAGTGCAATAATTCTAAAATTAGGCAAGGCAGAGTTACTGTTCTTTGCACTGCACTTCTAATCAATGTGATCTATCAACCTACAAAGTTTCTAGATGATATCTCTTATGATTTCCAAGTTATGTCCCCGACAACTTCAAAAAGTAAAAATAAACAAAGGGCAATGACTCCAAAATTAGGCAAGGCAGAGTTATGATTCTTGTGCACTGCACATCTACCCATTGAGATATATCTACCTACAAAATTTCATGTTGATATCTCTTATAGTTTTAGAGTTACGTTCCTGACAAAGTTCAAAGTGTTAAAATTAACAAAGGGCAATAACTCCAAAATTAGGACAACTAGAACTCCGCGAGTCGGATGTGTCGCCTTGTGAACAATATAGTTTAGGACAAATGGCCAGGACAAAAATGAAATTTGAAAATCAGCAAAGGGCAATAACTCAAAAAATAAGAAATGCAGAATAGCAGTTTCTGTGCACTGCACTTCTTATCAATAAGATAATTAGTTTCAAGTCTAAAGCTTTTATAATTTATAAGAAATGGCCTGGACAAAAATAAAGTATGAAAATTAACAAAGGGCAATAATCAAAAAATAAACAAGAGCTGTCAGTAGGACAGCAACGCTCGACTATTCTTAGTGCTTGATAGTAAAAAAAATGCTTGATACAGTTACCTCCTCCTGTTTACAAGTTGGGGTCATGATGGTGAACAAGTGTGCAAAGTTTCAAAGCCATATGTCAATGGACTTTGAAAATATTTGAACTATTACAAAAACTTTAACATAAATTCTAAGTCGAAAAAGGGGCATAATTCTGTCAAAATGCTTGATAGAGTTACCTCCTCCTGTTTACAGGTTGGGGTCATGATGTTGAACAAGTGTGCAAAGTTTCAAAGCCATATGTCAATGGACTTTGAAAATATTTGAACTATTACAAAAACTTTAACGTAAATTCTAAGTCGAAAAAAGGGGCATAATTCTGTCAAAATGCTTGATAGAGTTACCTCCTCCTGTTTACAGGTTGGGGTCATGATGTTGAACAAGTGTGCAAAGTTTCAAAGCCATATGTCAATGGACTTTGAAAATATTTGAACTATTACAAAAACTTTAACATAAATTCTAAGTCGAAAAAGGGGCATAATTCTGTCAAAATGCTTGATAGAGTTACCTCCTCCTGTTTACAGGTTGGGGTCATGATGTTGAACAAGTGTGCAAAGTTTCAAAGCCATATGTCAATGGACTTTGAAAATATTTGAACTATTACAAAAACTTTAACATAAATTCTAAGTCGAAAAAGGGGCATAATTCTGTCAAAATGCTTGATAGAGTTACCTCCTCCTGTCTACAGGTTGGGGTCATGATGGTGAACAAGTGTGCAAAGTTTCAAAGCCATATGTCAATGGACTTTGAAAATATTTGAACTATTACAAAAACTTTAACGTAAATTCTAAGTCGAAAAAGGGGCATAATTCTGTCAAAATGCTTGATAGAGTTACCTTCTCCTGTCTACAGGTTGGGGTCATGATGGTGAACAAGTGTGCAAAGTTTCAAAGCCATATGTCAATGGACTTTGAAAATATTTGAACTATTACAAAAACTTTAACATAAGTGGTTACGCCGACGCTCGGGTGACTGCAATAGCTCTACTTATTCTTATCGAATAGTCGAGCTAAAAATGCAGAGTACCAGTTCTTGGGCATTGCACTTCTTTTTAATGAGATCTATCATCCTATGAAGTTTCATGTCCATAGCTTTTATACTTTAGGAGAAATGGCCTAGACAAAAATAAAGTATGAAAATTAACAAAGGGCAATAACTCAAAAATTAGGAAGTGCAGAGTACCGATTCTTGTGCACTGCACTTCTTCTTAATGAGATCTATCATCCTATGAAGTTTCAAGTCCATAGCTTTTTTAGTTGAAGAGAAATGGCCCGGACAAAATTAAAGTATGAAAATTAACAAAGGGCAATAACTCAAAAATTAAGGACTGCAGAGTACCGGTCCTTGTGCATTGCACTTCGGGTTATTGAAAGAAGCATGCATACCAAGTTTGAAGTCAACCAGACTTATAGTGACCGAGTTATGCTCCGGACAAGCTTTAGGGGACGCCGACAACGACACAGACGCCGCCGACAAAAGTAACCCCTATATGTCGCCTTTTGAAGGCGACACAAAAAGAGTTATTGTTCTTATGCACTGCACATCTACCCATTGAGATCTATTCACCTACAAAGTTTCATGTTGATATCTCTTATAGTTTTAGAGTTATGTCCCGGACAAGATTTTTCTATAAGGGGAGATACATTGTAATTCAAATACCGGGCGAAATAATTATGGTTCTTTGACACTGCACTCCCCCTCAATGCCCTCTACCACTGTATGAAGTTTCAACAAATTATCTCCAAGGGTTTTCAAGTTATGCTCCGGACAAGACAACGGATGGACAGACATTCTTACCAGAGCTACATTATGGGGTTTTCTTTTGTTATTTCTTTTGTTCTTTTTAACCCCATAATGCAGAAAATAACCCCACAAGAGAAACGGAATGAATGATATCAAAGACATCTATTGTTATGAGAACAATAGACCAAACCCCATAATGTAGCTCTGGCTTGTACAGATGGACAAGGCGCCGACTATATGCTCCCCCGAAAAATTTCGGGGAGCATAAAAAATAATAATGTTTTTCTTCTGTTAGATCTCTAACCATATTTTGAGCAGAATACCTTAAATCAAAATTGCTGCAGAAATTGAATTTTCCACTTATATGCAAAATTGAGAGAATTTGGTTGCAGGATGAACGGCTCTAAAAATATTTCTTTATCTCTGAAGTGTTGATAAAATAGATACCTGAATATTACAAGTGTTTGCATAGATATGTCCATTTACAAGCTGCACATTAATGTCATCCTGGGCCAATGGTACTGTCACAGTACCATCTCCCACAGTGTCCATTATACCTGAAGACAGAATGAAAAGGACTTCTTATTATAATATACATTGAGTCATTGACATTAACAGCAAAAATATATCTAATATTAAGGTTCATTGTGTCTGTAGCTGAACATTTAATGTTTCGATTGTGGATAGGAAAGATTACCAATGGGTATTTTTACAGGAACATTGCAGAAGCACCTATATTGAATTGACTTAAAATGTTATGGCTAATAAATTTAAGCTCATATTACTGGTCAGTTCTGTTGTATAATTATTTTGCCAAATAGTTTCACTTTACTTCCATCTGTTCAAAAGATACAGAGCTGACAAAATTTGCTGATAGACTGATAGATGGATGGACTGCATAGTAATATACTCCGAAATTTTTTGGGGGCGTAGAACAATCAAGCATCGTCAAGCATAGGTGTCACATTTATACAACATCAATATATCAATTGTCGATATTCAACATTTAGTCCAATATTGTTTCAAAATTCTGAATATCTATACAATTTAAAACCCATGTCTCCCTTTCTTGTGAGAGAGGTCTGTTCTATTCCTATTTGTTAACAGGCTTAAATATATAGAGGTCAGAGAGACAAAATAGGAAATTTATACATTTTTTCAGTTTTTTTTGTGGATAAAATGATGTATTTGTGATGACTAAAACAAGCATGTATAACACCATGATGACAGTTTATAACACATTTTCATATGGGCTCTACTGTGCTAGCTATTTAATTCAATATGTCAATCTCTTGTTACTAATATGACAGCAGGCAAAGCCTATAATTTTATAAACAAAAAAAAATGTATGCATTTTTCATTTACAATTTCGTGTTAAAATTGTTGTTAGGCATTTCATGCATGGTGAGCATGCCACCTCTTTTGATTGTCAATTGGAACACCTCAATGAAAATCTTAAGCTGAAGAGTTGTGATTATTCTGTCATCGAAATACCCTGCCAATAGTGAGTTACAATAGAAATGGTGGCGCTGAACTGGAAAGGAGGCTGAAAATTTCACTAATATATATTTAAAACTATGGCTGCTTTTCCTAAAGTTGTGGGTTTTCCTTGAGTTGTTGGTAGGTGAATGACTTTTTGAATGATACAAAATGCACTTGGAAATTTTGCATTTATTATTTGTTGTTAAGAAGTTGTAACTATTGTAATAATTTGGCCATTTGTCCGGTTTGGTTACATTTTTTGACAACATACATATATATACAGCATGCCCATTCACGCACTACAGTGCGTAATTCACGCACAAAATTTTAAATGCAAGCATAAAAATTGTAAGCAAGGGGGTACATGCACGCAAAGTAAAACCGTCAGAATGAATGTTTGGAATAGCTATAGTTTGGGATAATCATGCATATCAACTGAATGTCGTTGCCATCTACAAATGGTTAGGAACAGTCTAAACCCGGTCACAATTGCATGTCTGCTTTCAAAGTCATCTCAGTCTGATTCGTAAATATTTTAGTCATGTCTTGACGTCACATGTACTGTCTTAAGAAAAAAAAGTTTTGGATTATTACAACTGCCAAAAAGTATTTTGAGTTCTCCAATGATCAGCAAAAAGTTAGTCACTTTATTTTTTAACAACTACCTTCAATTGTGAGCTTTACGTATGCCATATTAAAAGAAAATATAAACAATTGAGAATTTGAAATAAATGTACATAATTTCGGATATACAAAATTTTGATTATGGGTAATAATTGTATGGACTTAACAAAATACCAATGATTGTATAAATGGCTGTTATATTTCAACCTTAAGTAATGAGTTTGTGTCTGTGTTAGTGGGTAGTAATACTAAGTGAAACAGCTTCATTAAATATCATGTTGACTAAAATGTTTTTACAAACAAAAACATGTTTAAACTTATGTGTACCCCCCAGATTTTGAAATGTACCACCAATTTTCAATGACAGGGGGTACATGTACCCCTTCATTTGAAATTGAGTGGGCATGCTGATATATATATATATATATATATATATATATATATATATATATATATATATATATATATATATATGATTTACTTACCAAGAGTCATGGGAATTTCTTAAAATAGACCATTGACATCACAGGAACAAGCATGGACATAAATATATATATTTTTAAATTTGCTTATATTAAATTATTTGAATTCCTTTAAAATTGACACATGTAGACTATAGCTGGGCTAGCCTAGGACCACAAACTTCCCCATATTTATTCTGATTTATTTGACTCTCCAACCAATACACGGATTGACAGTTACCGAACTAGCAGGTTGCCTGCTGCACAGTAAATGGGCCAATTTTTCAAAAATACATGTAATGCAGGCTTTTTCAAAAAAATTATTGCATTTTCTATTATTTCTTTGTGTTTTTACAAAGGACTTACTATAAAGCAAATGTGCCCAAAAAATTTTTGTGATAGCATTACCCAAAATAAAGATACAGACATTTTTATACCCTAAAAATGCCCAATTTTACATGTAATGTGTTAGCATCTGTTTTTTTGGTGTTTTTAGAATTAACACCAATATTATCTGTTTTAATTCATCACTTAAATTTGTTTACATGAACATAGAAAATTTAATAACCTTTCCAGTGATATATAATACTTGGTATACATCATTCTGGTTTTTATCGTAAAGATGATTTTAGTAAAATCAGACTTTTGTAATGCATCAGTTTTTTCAAAATTCAGTTGTTAAGCAAACAAGTATACCATTAAGCAATAACAAATAAAATAGTACTTTATTGTCTCAATCTAATGAAATATGAATTAAAAACATATGTTAAGTGTTTTCAATTCAAATTTTCAAACATTTTTACCTTAGTAGGCATTTTAGTGGTAAAAAAAATTTTGTGATGAAAAAACTGTAACATCCGTCCCCCTCTCATAAAATACCCAATTATAAAACAATACTCATAAAAAACAATGTTTCTGGTGCTTAATGATAGTCTTACAATGAAAATGTTATCAAAAATGCCAATTTGTATGTTTATGAGAAAAAAAATACAATAATGTAAAAGTTGTCTGTAACATCCGTCCCCCTATATAAGGTGCTTATTAAAACTCACATAAACTGTAACTGAAAGGAAATTTTAAACTAAAACACCAAAGTTACAATGAAAAATGAAGAAATAACAGAAATAAAGCACTGAAATGATGTATTTATAAAAAAAAATATTATTTGTTAACACTAAATTCCTTAATTTTGAAAAAAAAAATCAGTATTTTTTTGCTCTGAAAACAAAATTATTTACTTTGAAATATAATTTTTATGTTATTTTTTAACATCAAGTGGACCTATGAGTTTATTAAGATAATATTTAAGCTTATATGAATTTATAACAAATATAATCTTTTGTTATTCTGTGTTTACAAACTTAGGGTACAGAAGGGGACGGATGTTACAGAATTGAACTAAAAATTCTTTTTACAGTAATACAAAACTAACCTTGTTCTTATGATGCATGATAGAGAAGTAGTAAGCTTTGCAACTGTATAGGAATGTTTCACACAACAAATAAAATACTATAGTTTAAAAAAAACTAGAAGAAACAAACACAAAATCCATAACAGGAGATATACAAAGAGGTGCAAACGATAGAGATGTTGAAAGTATCTTTTTGATTAAAATTGGTCAATTGTTAAAACATAAATTCTTTAGCCTTAAATAGTTAACAAACCATGTATCCCAGCCCCTCATAAAACAGTGGGATATGGATTCTAAATCTATACACACAGAAGGGGCTGGCACTTTATTGGAAGTTAACGAGCTGTATATTGGGAGCTGTGTATATTGTATATTGGGAAGTGTGATATATTACAAAACAGTAGGGGTGCCAATTAAGGGTAATATATATTATGCTTAAAAACAGTGGGAGTGACTACTATATCTGTTTCAAGAATGTCTGTCATTAAGTAATAAAGTTGAAGATCATTTAAGTCAAAGGATTTATTGAACTTCAAAATTTTATAGGCTAAATATGTAGTCAATGAAAAATAAACAAATAAAGAAATATAATTCAACACACTGATTAAAATTTTACCCCAAAAAAAATTCAAGCACATTTTCATACAATTTGACCCATTTAATTATTGTTAATAAAGTGAAAGAAACTTGTAAGTAAAGGATATGGTAAGGATTCCTGTAATTAAAAAGTTAGAATAATTGTGAAAATTATTCTGTAAATAAACGCTTTGCAAATTATTTTGCACCTATAAATTTTATTGAATGACATATTAGTTCATTAAGTTGAGCAGTTCATGCTCACTGAAATATTTACACAGAGAATTATTAAAAGTTAGAAATAATGAGATTATGATACTGAATCATTATGAAATTTTTGGATAATGCTGCTTACATTCCACATTAATCAATAGAACTTAATTGCAACAATTTAAAATCTTATAATTTTTAATGAAAATTTTTAATTGTGCATAATTTATGTATAAGTAATGAAAATTCAACCTTGCATATGTTTCAATCTGAAAACTTATTTACTTCACACTGCATCATATCTTTTACAAATATAAATATTATTATTTAACTAAAGTATTTTGTAAATAATTTCATGTATAGAAAGGTACCGTTGGTATGACAGTTTCTCTTTAATGTTAATGCATTATCAGGAAACAAAGATTCTTTTATTTAATTAGCAATGTTTTTATTTTATTCAAAACATTTCAATGTTCATTCAAATGTAAGATAAATGGAAGAAAACTAAGTCAATGCAACTTTTCATTGTGAAACGCAAATAGTAAGAAACTCCATAATTGTCGGGTATATTTCTACATTTTTCTCATAATTTGTTCAATTATTTTACATTTATTGTGCTGTACAAAGCATATACTCTTATAAATTTTATTACTTTAAAATAAAACCAAAAAAAGTATGAACTATGAGCTTTAAACATCTAGTGTAACATCCGTCCCCCCAAAAATGTAACATCCGTCCCCCTGATACAATTCATTTTTGGGTTATCTGACAAGAAATATACATAAGAAAGTCCTTTAATTTCTACTGTTTTATAAGAAATGTGTTTGCATATTTGATTTAAATATGATTTGGTGTACCTATCTTTGTTTTATTTCTCTCTGTTTCTAACATGTTTGAAAATTTCATTTTGTGTGAAAAATACTGAAAATTTGAAAGCAAATATTTTTATATCTAAGATGAATTTTCTGGATTTTTTTTGTAACATTAATCAGAACACATAATATTTTTATAAAATAAAGAGAAATAATACAATTTTTATTATAAACTGTAAGATATTCAGACTTTTAGTATATCTTTGTAACATCCGTCCCCTACCCACACAGTCAGCAAGAGATGTAAAATTTTGAAAAAGGTATCCAAAAAGTTATCCTTTCTTTCCAAAAATATTGTTAAAGACACCCTAAGGTACTTAAAAAGAGCAAATATTGTCTTGTATGTTTAACTTTATTTTTTGACTTAGATGCTAACACAATTGGCCCATTTACTGTGCAGGCAAGATGACAGGCTATTCTTAAAAGTAGAATTGCGAGTAAAGATAACCGATTGCGCATCCTATGTAAAATGGTCTGACTTGTGGTAGGTTTAACCGTAAATTTAAATACCTTCAGTGTCAAACAATGTAATACTTGAAATATATACTGAGACGAAGCTTAGATCTCAAGCTTTTCATTGGTGTAATAAATTTTAAAATCGGACATTAAATCGCCCCAAACTAGCGGTTTAAAAAGGGCTAAATTTACATTGTTTTAGCATTAGAGATATCGATTTTACTTGAAGATAAGGGAAACAACTCGTTTTCACTCAATATTATACCTCGTTATTTAAGACGGAGTTCATATAGAGACTGTCAATGAGTGTATATCAATACATAACTTTCCATGGGCCTAAGTGACGTGGCTGGACTGACCAACTTGGAGATGCCAGATAATACAGCTTGCACCTAACCTGTATATATGTAAAGTGTCTTGCGGGGTGAAGTGTCTTCAAAATGTAAGGGGTAAAGTGTCTTGTTTCACCTGTAGACTCAGTGGACATGTCCTCGATCAATTTAATTGTAAAATTACACCCAACAAATTAAACTTGCCTTGTATGAGTAATATTTCCGTTGAAAAATATCACCAGACACTCTTCTTGTAAAACGTCATATTTTAAGCTAGGGAGCAACCATTAAACATAACAATAACAACATAGGTCATAGACCACCAAATTTTAAATTTTCTTAGGATAATGGACACGTCGTCGATCAGCTAATTTTGACATGATAATGTAAAAAAATGATTAAAATAATACTTGTATGACAAAATTTGGAGTTTATATTTAAAAGAAATGTGAATAAAATAGAAATGAATTATTTGAGATCTTTTACTGGGATCCATGCGTTTATCACCTCCATGACTGATAATAATCTCTCTTGCAACATTTTTAAAAAAATAATCTAGAATGAGGACAGCCTCTTGATGCCATGAATGTTGCATAATTTATCAGAATTTGTTCATCTGCAGGCTTTAACATACACTCTTCCCCAAATTTTGTAATATAACCCTTGTATTTCCCATTGATATATGGTTCTGTACAGTGGTGTAAGGAAGGCCTAATTCAATAGCTGCTTTACGTATGGAATAGCCCTGGGTCACAAGATGTTTTGTCTCACTAGTCTATATATTTGATCTGGGTGGGTCCTAGGCATTGCTGAAAATATATAATTGAGTGTCACCAAAGGGGAAAAATATAGTGGTGTTAAACCAAAGGAAAAAACAGTAAAATATAGTGGTTTGTAACCTATGTGTTTTTCTATCCCATTAATTTACTACTTTTTTACTTTTGATATTATGTAAAAATATCTAATTATTCTTAGGAAAGCGAAAAATATGTATTTTGGGCAAAATATTCATATATTTAGCATCTTTTCTTAGTGGCTGATCCCTGACCTAGATTACTGTAGGAAATCGACCCACCTCCTTCCTGGAAAAAGAGCTAAAAGCTTACGTAATTTTATTATGTAGGAAAAAAAATTGTATAATTATCAAATGTAGTTATTTTTTGTCATTTTTATATATTTTGTATAAATATTAGAGGTAAGGAGAAAAGATGTACTTAATTTTTTATTGGGTAATTTCTACTTTCACTTTGCCATTGTTTTTAGAATCGTCTGCTGCGTGAACTTTGACCTCACATAAATACTCTTCAGTGGGAGTTTAGTAAAGTACTTACATGTGTTGGAAAAACAAAGCAAAGAAAGTTCGTGTTTTATCAAGTTTATTTGAAAAAGATACAAAAAACAAATTTTTGATCGAGGACCTGGCTGATCGAGGACGTGTCCAATCACTCTAAACATGAACCAGATTTCAGGATCAGTGCTCAGCGCACTGAAAAAAAATGTCAGAACAGTAACTGAGTATGAAATACAGCCAACATACACCTTACTGATTTATATGGAAGTAAAAATTAACAAAGTCACTCTCTGATGTAAAACTTACAAGCAAAATGCACGAAAAACGCAAATCCTGCACTCCACCCACCAAAAAATTCAAGATGGCGGGTGGGGTGATGTGGCTAAATTCGAGTCTGTACAACGATATATCAAGAATTGAGTGAAGTAATACTGACGAACATTTACAAAAACGTATAACTTATTAATCCGGTAACGTGACACTATATATTTTTTACTTTACTTACGGCAAAAACGATTTTATCGATAAAATATATTTCTTTGAGATGAAACGGCTTGGAGCAACGGAGATTCTCGGTTTTGATTGGTTAAAACAATGAATACAAATACCAAAAAGGAGTCTCTATTTAACAAAAAGGTTTAATAAATTCAATATCCCGGTTCTTGGTTTAAGGGAACTTCACGTACGTTCATTAGTCTGCAATTAAAATCGATAATAAATAATAATATAGATAGCATTTCTGTAAGACCAGTTATGCCCAAGTTAATAGATAAATTAAATACCTGTAGATATCAGAGGTCATCTCATGGACTAGGTCTTTTTTTATATGGTCGCACCCAACAGGTGGTTGTTGATGGTCAAAATTCTGACAACCTACCTGTTCTCTCTGGTGTCCCCCAAGGCTCGGTCCTGGGACCTTGCCTCTTCTTATCCTACATAAACGACCTTCCTGGTAGTGTTATGGGCAAGGTCAGGCTATTTGCAGACGATACAATAAATCAACAATTAACAATCAAATCAAACCAAGATGCCCAAACCCTCCAAAAAGATCTGAACAGTCTTGAAAACTGGGAATCTGATTGGTCCATGGAATTTAACCCAGATAAATGTGAAGTCCTTTGTATCAGCCACAAGAAACATCCAGTAACATTCCCCTATAATTTACATGGTCAACAACTAAAATCCAATCAATGAGACTGCAAAATATTTAGGCGTAACAATTAGTAAAGATTTATCCTGGACCAATCACATAAATAACATAACAGCAAAAGCAAATAATTCACTCAGATTTATAAAAAGAATGTCAAAACTTCAAATAAAAACGTCAAAGAAACTGCCTACAAAACTTATGTAAGGCCCAAGTTAGAATACTGTTGTACGGTTTGGCATCCTAGCTTGGCAAAAATATCTGGTTTACAAAATTGAACAAGTTCAAAGGTCATGCAGCCAGATATGTATACAATGACTACAATTACACCAGCAGCCAGATATGTATACAATGACTACAATTACACCAGTAGTGTATCTAAAATGATAAGCGAACTTAATTGGCAAACCCTAGAACAGACACGCAACATCAGCTCTGTACCCTTCTCTACAAAATCCAACACAATCTTGTGAGGGCCATCACCACCTGACACCCACTAGAAACCTGAACTACCTAATACCATATTCAAGGACACAATATCACTCCTATTCATTTTCCCCAGAAATATTCGTCTGTGGAATGGCCTACCCGTGTCCTTACAAGCTAGACCCAATTTAGACCTCTTATCTGGGCAGCTGCATCCTTTTTACCAGTTCTAAGCCAGCTTTTTTTAAAACTTTTATCTCAGTCTTGTAGTTCTTTTTAACTTTCTTTTACCTTGTGTCTATTAATTTGCACTTAACATATATAGAGGATATTGAATGAGTGTAGTTTAATACTAAATTTATTGAACGAGTTGAATAAAATAATATTATGCGAGCCTCTGGCGAGCATAATATTGTTTTATTCAACGAGTTCAATAAATTTAGTATTAAATCTACACGGATATGATATTCTATTTATCACATATTATAAAATAAGAACAGTAAACTGTTAAAATGAGTAATTTTTCAATGACGTGCCTATAGTGTAATGCTAACATTAGCGCGATTTAAATAACGCTTTGATTATATATAGCGCAAATGACGTCACGTCAAAGTGTTATTACACTAGTGTAATATCGTTTTTATTAAATGGCTTTATTACACTCCTGCGCCGCGGTTTATGTGATAATTGTTTTTAACAGCTATTCCCAGACAACGCGCCTGCTTAGTGTAATCGATTACGATTTTGAAGCATTATGATGTAGATGTAAATATTTAGAACATTACGGGCATAATTTAACGATTTTCTTGCATGTATCACTATTTTAACTTTATAAACTATGTGACCAAAAAAAAAAAGAAAGAAAGAAAAACAAGTTATTTTCAGGAAACATGATAAAATGCCACATATTTTCACGAGCCGGGGCGAAAATATATATACCATATTTCACGAAAAACAAGAAAATAACATTTTTATTTAATCTCATTATCAAAGAAAAAGCTTGCTACGCAACTGCAATAGTAAAGCGCACAGATATATATTATTTATAGATACGTCTTGTTTTGCACGCGACATTTGGCGCTACATTGTGACGTCACGTAAACAACTCTTTTAACATCTGTACAGCGTTAATGACTGAATTAAAGATATTGGTGTTCGGATTTATTTTCTTAGTTAGACCATTTTTCTATCATTCTAGATAGATTTCAAAACAAAATTCAACAGAAAATTCTTTTGTATTTATCAAATTTTCAAACAAAATGTGGAAAAAAGTCCCTTAGAATAAATATGAGTTTTGACTCCACCCACTTTCATATTCATATTTCATATTTATTTAAAAAAAAATGAACTATATATGACTGACATAGCACCATATTTTCACGGGTAAGATTAAATAATAAGAGGATATTTTTTCGTTAATATTTTCATGTTTCCTGAAACAGAGTTTTTCGTAAAAATATGTGGCATTTTATCATGTTTCGTGAAAATATATTCCATATTTCACGAAAACGAAAAAAAAAAGCAACTTTTTTATTTAATTTCATTATCAAAGAAAAATGGTAACGAACCCCCTTGCTTGCTACGCAACTGCAATTGTGCAGCGCGTAGTAATATATTAAAGGAATAGGAATGGATGGATTGATGTCTGTCTAATATAAATATTCATCATTAAAAAAGATGAACCATGACAGTTTTCCTATTGGCATCAAACCCTATAAGAGAGAAATTCGTGTTTTAAGACACTATTTTTTACTTGAGAAATAAGTTCATGGGCGCCGCCATTTTGGCGTTCTGTCATTCTCGCGAGACAGACGAGACCGAGATTGTGACGTGTAATACCCACTTCCGGTATAGGTGTATACGCTGGTACAACTGAAATATATCTTGATGAAGAACTTATTAATTTAATTTATGAAAACATCATATTGGAACTGGAATTGCTTTAATTAATTAATTGAAGACGCCGCGACATTAATTATTATATTCTTCCGATATTCAAGCTTGCTGATGATCCCACCACATGATTTAAGCAATGACTGCTTAATTTTCAAAGATAAACCATAAATTTAATTTGGGTACTATGAGAAACTTCTTCAAATTGACGATATATCCTTTTATTTTGTACTTAATTTTCGCTAGACAAGCTGTCCAAATAGGGTACATCGTCGGTCGTGTATCTTTTTTTACCAACTAAATCCAATATATATCTACTTACCAAATTCCTTTCCCCGACAGATACGCATTTCTACTACCGTAAATTTAATCCAATAAAACAAAAAAAATCATAAATCTACTTAATATTTAAAATGATTATTGGTAACTGAAAAAAAATGTGTTGCTATTTTATGACGTGCTGTAATTTACTACAGTATAATTTGACAGGTGTGGAACCTAATTCCCCCTAAGGTCATTCAGTTCACTGATGAAGCGTAAAAAAATAGATGTCTATTTCGTCATTAGAATATTTGACAAGGGTGATTAACCAATCAGGGCAACATTGTGCATGATCAAAAGGTCTGTCGGCACAGAGGCATACAAGGAGCAATAAAAATCGTCAGTACACAGTGTGACAGGAGCATTTGGTGCAAATTAGGAACAATTAAAATGGACAATGCGCAGTTTTAGACATAAGTAGTAAGAACCAGCAATTGTGTGAATAAAATTATGCAAATAAGACTTTTGAGCAGCCAATAAAAATGATTTGCCTGCAGTTAATATTAGGCTACGATTACGATGCGCAGCATCATACGTTGACAGACACGTGAATAATTTACATTTCAAAAGAGTTGCTTATATTTTTGAAATGTGTACATCAATTATAACATACATGTATGCTCACACCTTTAAATTTGAAAGTCAGAATCAAACTGCACAAATTTAATTATATGTACTATTAAGAACACGTTTTAGTAGGGTTTTTTATAATGAAGTGGCTAGCGTAAGGGCCCGTACGGCTAGCCAAAAGTTTTAGCCGTACGTGAGTCACGTACGACTAGCAAGGACACGCTGTATTGGCTAGCCGTACGGCACTTTTCAAAATTTTATGGAAGTCGAAAATGCATATGTTATTTTTTATGACTTTAAGCGAGGATTTTAACCAAGAAACAGCATTAATTGTCTTTGGATGTTAACTTTTTAGAGATTAATCGCCTTGATCGCTATATATATATATATATCGATCTATGTCAACGCAAGATGTCGAGAAAAAAATAGCCTTTGCTTGCATTTACACCAATTGAAATAGTTTACAAAATTTTGATAATAATCCTTTTTTGTTTCATTAAGTTTAATTTTCGACCACCTTTTATATGAAAAAAAAAAAACAACAAACACTGAAAATGATTGTTGTTAGGCTCTTGATAATTGCGACAATTACCGACGGTACTGTATAGAAGTATGTCCATCAAGGAAAGTTTGCATGTTCCGTGAAAGGCATTCTAAAATTCTATTGTCAGTCCCTGGATAGGTTTTAATTAAGGCTGATTAATTGATTGACTGTGCTTTTATGTTTGATTTTTATCTACTGTTTGAAATTATATAATTATTTTTGCATTTCACCGTTTTTTTTTTTTTCATTTCAATGTTCTTTTTATATATTTATTCCACTCCGATCATTTTTTTATTCGATCCATGTGCTTAAAATTAACAAAAAAATGATTTAATAATTCATACAAATAAAACAACAAATGATAAGCATGAAAATCAACAATTTTATAACGTTCGACTTCCATATAATTTTTTGAAAAGTGCCGTACGGCTAGACAATACGTAGAGTGCGTCCTGGCTAGTCGTTCGTCACTCACGTACGGCTAGAACTTTTGGCTGGCCGTACGTTTCTTTATTTTTTTATTTATTTATTTTT